CTAACGCACCGGAGCGCAGGAACAGCTGGTCCATTCGCGGCGCTCTCGGATGTCGAAAATGTTCATCTGAGCCCAAAGAATCTTGATTTTCGGTCTCGCGTTCTTTCCCGCGTGGTTCCTTGACCCCGGCCCTAAGGCCGGCAACGAGCTGTCACTCTACTGCGGTGCTGCCGGGAGAGTAGCTCAGGGACCGCGAGCGGCAGCAGCAAGACTGGGTGCCGGTGCTTTGTGAGAAGTGAAACTTGTGGGGTCACCGCCCACACCCCCAAAGCAGGGGCTCCGGGGTGGCACCCAGCCTGCCTGCAGGGACTGGCGCTTGATCTCAGAAAGACTTGCCCTCAACGCCCCCTTACCAGTACGGAAGCCACTAGCCGTCTGTGGCTACTTATTATTATTATTTTTTAATGCCTACAGCACCTGGTCTTCCTAGGCGGTCTCCCATCCAAGTACTAACCAGACCCGACCCTGCTTAGCTTCCGAGATCAGACGGGATCTCGTTAAGTAGACACCTGTGGCTACTTAACTAAACTGTTATTAATTACAATTTAAAACTCAGCTCCTCACACATGTGGCTAGTGGCTACCACGTGGGAAAGCGCAGACCGTAGCCCATTTCTGTCCCTGCGGACAGCTCTGCTGCCCGGCGCTGACCGGGGCCTTGCCCCTCGCCCTGTGGTCTGTGGGCCAGCGGTGTGGGCCCACCAGCAGCGTGGTAGAAATGCAGAACCTCAGACCAGCCCCAGCCCGGGCCCACCAAATCAGAGTCTGCGTGGTGACAGGGTCTCCGGCGATCTTTGGAATCACCCTGACTCATTTCCTCCCCAGCAGAGCTGTCCCCTCAAGGAAGACAGCTTCTTACAGCGCTACAGCTCAGACCCCACCGGCGCCTTGACCGAGGAGAACATCAACGACACTTTCCTCCCAGTGCCCGGTGAGTGCTCGCACGGGTGCCAGGCTCGCGTCCTCGTCCCCCCGCCCAGCTTCCACCCCTGGTGCCCCGGCCACCTGCTTCCTCCACTGGTCCCCAGGTGGGGACGATGCAACTTCGCAGGCATAGCGAAGGGCGTGAGAGGCAGATGGGCAGAGGCGGCTGTGCGTGGCACACGGTTCTCGGTCGGGGGCAAGTCGTGTCCAGGTGGTGTGTTGGAAGTTTGTATTTAGAATGAATCTGCAGACTTTCTAGAATTTGAAGCAAGCAGCTCAGATGTACGCATGTGTGTGAGAGACGGATTCGGTTACCCGTCCCCCCCACCACCATCCTTAGCCTGCGACCCAGGCATTTTCCTAACCTGGGCTTTATCCGCAGACCCTCCCTGCCTGCCTGTATACACCCCCCAAGGCAGGCTGTGCTCTGAGGCCATTCGAGCGCTGACAGGTGAACGTGCCCGTCGCTTTGGGATGTGCAGGCGAGGACGTGATTTATTTCGCAGCGATAGCAAGATGGTCGTCCCCGCAGGCCCCTCACGGGAGAATATTCCCAGGGTTCGGAAGGAGCCGTGGGATTCTGCTTGGACGGCGCTTTGCTCATCACCTCTGATTTCTTCTCCATTTCAGAATACATGAACCAGTCCATCCCCAAAAGGCCCGCGGGCTCTGTGCAGAACCCGGTGTACCACAGTCAGCCCCTGAGCCCCGCCGCCGGCAGAGAGCCGCACTACCAGCACCCCCACAGCAGCGCCGTGGGCAACCCCGAGTATCTCAACACCATCCGCCCCGCCAGCGGCGACGGCCCTGCCCTCTGGGTGCAGAAAGGAGGCCACCACATTAGCCTGGACAACCCTGACTACCAGCAGGACTTCCTGCCCAAGGAAGCCACGTCGAACGGCACGTTCAAGGGCCCGGCCGCCGAAAACGCAGAGTACCTGCGGGTAGCCCCGGCGAGCCGCGAGTTCACCGGCGCGTGACCCGGAGGCAGCGTCGGCCACCGCGATCCGGGACCCGTCAGCCCCCAGGACCAAGCCACGGCAGCTACTCCAGTCCGACAGCCATTCCCGCGCCAGCTCCTGGCCCCGGGGGCTGGCGTGGCCGCGTTCGCTCTGCCCAGCCCATCTCTCATCCAAGACGTGCCCTCTGCTCAGATGTACTTCGGGACGTTGCAAGGACATTGCTTTGTCTTAAA